CCAGGTAGGGTCGCAATTGGTGCACCAGGCGAACCTGGGCAAAGGTCCCCCTGGTCACAGCTATAGTTTGTGAACCTCCATATCTAGGTTGTGTTGATAGTGTTATCTATTTGATAATGGACTCCACACTCCTCCTCCTCCTCCTCCTCCTCCTCCTCTCTGCAAACCCATCTCTCGTCTAGCACTGATGATGTTACATAGTTGTGTAATAAAACGCCTGCAAAAAAACCCAGCCGAGCACCAAGAAACACTCAGTCCTCCCCTTCCTCTTCCTCCTCTTAACCCCATTCCTTTCTAGCGCTGATGATGTTATCTAGCTTGGTAATGAAACGATCGAGCTCAGCTGTTAGCACCCAGGACCCCACAGTTGTCCTCCTCCTCCTCTCTTCAAACAGCACTCCCTTCTAGCACTGATGCCGTTACGTAGTTTGGTAATGAAACGCCTGCAAGAAAACGACCAACTTCACAGCACACCAAGGGACCCCCACTTAATTTCTCTAGCAACACTGATCATCTTATGGGCCCACTTTTTGTATTAATAATATCTACATTCGGGGTGTGTTTTAACTGCATTTGCCAATGAAGTGGTTACAATGCCACTTTAAAAAAAAAAAATAGCACCATTGCCTAGAAAAAAATTCCCTGCACTTGTTTTCTATTAATACCTCACAAGGGGCATAAAACTTTTAAAGAGATTTAAGTCTAGTGTGTCCGATTGGTGCTTGCGTGCCATATTCAGCGAACTCAGAGCTAGCTGGGAGAACAATTTTAACATGTATATCTGTTTCTCTCATCTTGATCTTGTAATGTGATTTTTATTTTTATTTTATTTATGCTTGCCGTATGCTGCTCAGTCGCTTTTGATCAGATGAGCATCTGTACAAATTTGATGAATAAATCTAGATATATAAAAATGGCTCTGTGTGTGTCTTTGTGTATGTTCCAGCATAATTCTGGAATGCCTCGAGTAATTTCAACCAAACTTGGTACACAGATGACTTACTCTCTGGAAAAAAAATACTGTGGGGGGTAAGACANGGGTGCCGTCGACCGGACAATGCCGGCTGGCGGCCCCTCGGGAGAGGGCCTTCTCTGTAGCTGCTCCGGCCCTGTGGAACGATCTACCCGTAGAGATCCGGACCTTTCCCATGCTCTCGGCCTTCCGAAAAGCCATTAAAACCGGGCTATTCCGGCAGGCCTGGGGCTGTTGACTTCACGAACAAGGTCCAGCCCCACCAGACGGAATGTATGATGTGTTGTTATAAATTTGTTTCTTTTTATTTTTAACTTTTTAACTTTTATCTTGGTTCTGTAAGCAGCCCGGAGTCCTACGGGATTGGGCGGCATACAAATTTATTAAATGACTAATTACTAAATTACTAATCTGCTTTCATTCATGTCCCTCTTTCCATCTTGCTTCTTAGATGATCAGAAACCATACTGATCTCAGTGGTCTTCCCTTTTTCTTTCTCTTTAGTATGGTTCGGAGCCTTAATCCTCTCATTTTTCAGGAATTCCCAGTCCTCGTCAACTGTGTCCCTCTTCAAGATCTCCACCTAGGGAGTCCTTCTACTTTTTCCTCTTGCTTGTTGAAGTCTTGAAATCCAGAACACTCATCTAGCTAACATCTGTTCTCCATTTCCCAAAGCACCAGAAGGCAAGGCGGGAAACAATGGATGGAAACCGATCAAGGAGAGAAGCAACTTGGAATTTAGGAGAAACTTCTTAACAGGGAGGACAATTTATCAGGGGAACAGTGCTTGCCTTTGGAAGTTGTAGGTGCTTCATCACTGGTGGTTTTTAAGAAGAGACTCGACAGCCACTTGACTCAATAGATATGGGGTCTCCTGCTTGAGCAGGGGGTTGTACTAGAAGACCTCTGTCCCTTCCAGATCTAGTCTGATTGATTGATTAGCAATAGCAATAGCAGACTTATATACCGCTTCATAGGGCTTTCAGCCCTCTCTAAGCGGTTTACAGAGTCAGCATATCGCCCCGAACAATCCAGGTCCTCATTTTACCCACCTCAGAAGGATTGGAAGGCTGAGTCAACCTTGAGCCGGTGAGATTTGAACAGCC